ACTGATCACAAATATCTGAAGGAGACAGTCATCATTTTTGTTGGCATTGTTAAAGAAAGATTGAAACTGGAACATGCTCTGGCCATTGGAAAGGTCTGTGGACAGAGGGACAGAGGAAGACAACATGAGAAGATTCTTGACAGCCTTTTGTCATGGCATGGAGTGATGTCAACACACAAACTGATGCATGCTGTTAAAGATTACAGTTGTGGAGAGGCATTATCACTTATGCCAGTCAGCAAGGCACTTGATAATGATGAAGGCTTTGCATGTCCATAAGTCTCGAAGGATGAGATACAGTCATTTGGGTGTGACTGACTGATGATGTTTAACCCCACCAGGACATCACACGGAGCAATAAACACCAGGTGACTGAATGTGCCACCACACACGAGGATCACTTGGGGACCGGTCCCAGAAACCCTCTTTAGCCCATATGTTGGTTTATATAAGGGCCCCTGGCAGCAGCCAGGGTGGGGCTTCAAAATAACAAAAAGCTGTGTTCCACATGGGGACATATAACGTAATATAAAGTCACCCATATATTGCCAGGTATTATGTAGGACACACAAAGCTGTAATACTGCTTTCTGTCAAACATACCATATGACATGGCTGTTGATACCTTTGTTGGTACTTATCCTTTTGTTTTCCAGATGATGGTATTATATTGTGTTATAAGGAGGCATGGAATCTGCATGGCTATTGTGCGCTTGACTAGAAACACCCGCTCATGTTAAAAAATATCTTTCATAATTGGGGCACATGGGGGACATATAACGTAATATAAAGTCACCCATATATTGCCAGGTATTATGTAGGACACACAAAGCTGTAATACTGCTTTCTGTCAAACATACCATATGACATGGCTGTTGATACCTTTGTTGGTACTTATCCTTTTGTTTTCCAGATGATGGTATTATATTGTGTTATAAGGAGGCATGGAATCCGCATGGCTATTGTGCGCTTGACTAGAAACACCCGCTCATGTTAAAAAATATCTTTCATAATTGGGGCACATGGGGACATATAACGTAATATAAAGTCACCCATATATTGCCAGGTATTATGTAGGACACACAAAGCTGTAATACTGCTTTCTGTCAAACATACCATATGACATGGCTGTTGATACCTTTGTTGGTACTTATCCTTTTGTTTTCCAGATGATGGTATTATATTGTGTTATAAGGAGGCATGGAATCCGCATGGCTATTGTGCGCTTGACTAGAAACACCCGCTCATGTTAAAAAATATCTTTCATAATTGGGGCACAGGGCGCTCCATTGGAATTCAAATTCCTTCTTCTTCAATCCTCTGTCAGAAAATTGAAATCAGGAGATCGGTAGCCTTTATGAAAGCTTTCATGCAGTCCATATCTTCTCGTGTACCAAACAGATTTGTCTTCATTGAGGTTGGAACAGGCCAGGTTATGTCTCTGTTGACAGCATACTTTTGACAGTGATTAGTGATTGGTGATTAGTCAGGATTATTGTCACATCACTTTGAACAGATCCATAGGTTCCCTGATCTCCTCCTCAAAAGCTCCACAAGTGTAAAGAGAGTGATGACGCCTGTTTTGTGTTGGTTAATCAAACGTTTTGTCCCTCTTAGCGAAATGTTCCACCCTGCACCCACATGTCCATTAACCTAGACAGAAATACGGCCCCCTGTGTGGGTTCCGGGGCCCCATTGTGGGGAAAATAAGAATAGACCCACTGCCTCCCCAAAAGCATGTTGTAAGAGTCAACTAATTGGGGAGCTTCCTTTGAAGACGGAGTGCGTCTGCCGGAGAGGCAAGGAACCAACAGTCTGTATTCAAGAGAATGAGATCTGTAAAACTGATGCACACTCAGGTTCTGGAGCAGGACTGCAGTTCAGTAGTAGACGAGCAACCAGAACCTTCCGCCAGAGTTTACAGCTGGTGAACGCGAAGAAGAAGAAGAAGAAGAAGAAATACGGCGTCATGCCCTTTGGTGTGCTTGTCGTCACGGTAAGTTGCACATGGCATTGATAACATCTCTTCTGTCCAGTACTGGACCAGCCATAGCAACCGCAGTGTCAGCAAGATAATCTGCATGCTCGTTTTCTTGAAGATTAGGGCAGCCATTTGCGAAGTGCTTAGTGTTGCAATCCATTCTTGCATGATAAAATCAGCTTGGATTTTTTTTAAAGCCTATTACAGTTGACAGCGTTAGAGTACATGCTCAGCATTTTCTGGTGCCATGCTGCAAGGACACGTCTTCGTGTTTCCTACACCGAAACATTTGAACATATGTTGACGAAGTCTGCTGTGCCCAGTCCTTAGTCTGAATCACGGCCATCTTTAGGCTATAAAGTTAAAGCCGGATGTGGTCTGAATATAAAACACTGTCCCTCTTTAGAGAGGCGATGAAGCGAGTCCTGGGGAGAAAATCTGGTGTGGGTATTCAGCCACATTCTTTTGATAATAGATTATATTAATGTCTTAGTCTCTTTGTGGGTTATGTCAATATTTGGTTATACCATGTCACTGCGGCTTTTGGCCAATCTCTCCGCTATTTCATTGCCTTCCAAGCCAAAGTGACCTGGAATCCACTGCAGTACAGATAGTTATGCTGAAGAACCTAAGTGAATCAGCTGTTGAGCCAAGTCTACAAAATGAGTGTCTTTTGAGTTAACAATTGCTTGTAGAACTGACATAGCATCAGTCAGAAAGGCCACTGTTATATTCACTGCTGTTATCCATTCAGGAAAGAACATGCCACCAGGAGTGCCTCTGCAATTTGAATTCGAAGTTTAGTGTGTTCTTATGAACAGGCAGATAGACTGGCTGGTTATACACCACTAGGTAGTGAATTGACAAGCTAGATGTTATGAAGGTCCTTTGCAGAGGCACAAATAAATTATTACGGTCTGAGGAGAAGGGGCTGCGAGGAGTGACCAGAAGGTCTGTTCAGCGCTCAACACTCAAGGAAAAGATGAGATAGATATACAATCTAATTGTTACTGGTACCATCGGAAATGGAACTCTGCACTTGCTGCTGAAGATGGGCACAGGGTACTTATGGGAATGTCCCGAGTTATGTTATGTCAATTCTTGTTTCAACATTTAACATTCTAAGACCTTCAGTTTCCAAACTTTCTGCAATCATTTTCTCCTTTATTCCAATTCCCTTCCTGATTCCCCCTCCGTAAAACTTTTTTTTCCCCATGAATCCATCTCAGTATGCATATTATTCATGTTCCACTTGAACACAGTAGAATACCTTGACTAAAAAGGCATAGAAGTCATAATAAACGATTCAAAAAGGAAAGCTAAATTGGCAGTCAAGACATAAAAAGCTCTTCTTTTACATGTAAAATAACATGATGTAGCCAAAAACGAGGCATGAGATTGCTGGGACTCACGAGCAAATAAATTGGAGGAAGTTGCAGGAGATGCGGTAGCTGCTGCTCTAGAGTCCCAGCCATCTAATTTAGCTCCCCATCGTAGCGGCGCGGTTGATACACTCAGAGGTGAGTTTAATCTTAAGAACACTATCGCTAACCTGCGTCGGAGCGCGTGGTATCCCCGCCATGTTGCTATTATCGTGTGTATTGTTGCGTTTCTCGAAATTGTCAACGGCAGTAATCCTAGTTACGCTTCGATGTATTCGTCGGAGGAAGTCCGCATTTTACACACGACTGAGGCCCTGTAAAGGTATTTGTTTGGCCGCCATAATATGGAGACAAAGTTCAGAGGAGAAGCAATTATCTATGAAAAGATTTACATAGATGTTTCTTAAAATAGGCCCTTGTACTTTTTGTTTTTGTACTTTTTGTTTTAATTTTTTTTCTCTCTGGACCAGTGGTTTTTTTTCAATGTTTTTTATGTGACACCCCCTTGAATACTTGTCAACAACAACATCCCCACACAAAATGGACTTTAAAAAAAAAACAGTTTGAAGGGAGAGGAGGAGAAGGAGTAGTAGAAGAAGAAAAAGGAGGAGGAGAATGAGAGGAAGAAGAATGGGCGAATGAATTAACAAGAATGTTGAATGAATGGATGAATGAATAAGAGAGCAAGAATTTAGGTATGCATGCTTGTATGTGGTGTTTGCGCATGTTTGCTTATGAATATTTATAGAGTGCCTGTCTATGCGTCGGGCAATGTTTATAAAACAAGGATAACTAACAGCTGCGTTAAAGATAATCATCACCTTTTTTCTTCTACCTTTTGGACATATCCCCGAAAGCCTCACTCTACCTGTAGCCGTCAGACTAGAAATACCATAATCCTACCCCGGCGCCTACCCGTGTAATTATATCAGCGCTGGCTGTACAAGACATAGTTTACGATCTTTGATAGATAAAACACGCACGTTAACTGCAATTTGAACCCGCCTGCTCAACCCCTCGTCTTCCACTCCCCTCTGTGAAAAAACGAGGTGCCTGCAGTAGAGTTTAGACAATCTTGAACAAAAAATAGAGAAAAAATATAAAGTTTTAAAACTGAAGCGTCTTTTGTTTATTGCAATTGGTTCTGTAGAGTCGATATGTATTTGGGGTTTTTTCTGATCCTTTGTGAAAGGGACAGGGAAGTATAAGTGGATACTGCTGTGAACTGTATTGCTGCTCACTACAGCAGACAGAATAAACTTCCCTGTTGCAGAAGCCGAACTTTTGGGGCTCGAGTTTGGGAAGTAAAAGTTAAATTTAATTTATGTTAGTATTTTCGATGAAAGGGACAAGTCGATGGTTATGTTGATGGAGTAACGGTAGATCGACTGTGGGGTATATAGCAGAGATAATCCAGCTAGCTCGGGCTGTATTGTATCTTGCAACTTCCCTGTTGCATTTCGGAAGCCGAACTTTTGGGTTTCAAGTTTATATTAAGCTGAAGAGTTTATTTTTGTTAGTATTTTCGATAAACGAGAGAAGTAGTTGGCTATGTTGATGGAGTAACGGTAGATCGACTGTGTGGTATATAGAAGAGGCTTTTTCAGTATCTGGACTGGTATTTTCTTCCTGGTCGGGATGTCGAGTTACCACGAACCTGTGCGGAGAGTGCTCTCAGGTAAAGTGTGTCCGTTTGTTTGAGATGTTGGTGGTAGCTTTTGTTTCAGATTTAAGTTATTGATTATTGTCATCATCTTGCTTCTGCTTCGTCCTCTTCTCGTCTTCTTCTTGTTCCCTTACTTTTCTCGCTTACTTCTTTTTAAGCAGTGCATTTTTTCTTTCTCTTCGCCTTCTGATATTTTCTTCCTTCTATCATCTCATCGGTCAGTGAACCTTAGACTTTCAACCAGCTTTCATCAAGCCCTTTTTATGCATGTTCTGAGTAGACTAGGAATGAAAATAGCTGCTGACGGAAATAAAAAAAGAGAACAGGGAAATATTTCGGCCATATTAAATGTCATAACTATTATTACAAAAATCATTTTGGGGGATGGGGATGATGGTAATCGAGCAATAGACAGACATCTATACAAGTGGGAGGATAATATCAAGAGAGGGATACATCTGGATTGTATATCGAAGGTGAAAGACTGAATATGTTGGATATCTATTACAGTCAACCATCACTGTGGAAATGGGTCCTGATCATTTGATTAACTCTTTGATTCTTGAACACTTCATGATGTGTGCATTTTTTATAAGGAGTAAAAAATTATAGGGAATAGAAAAAGTTGGTGAGAAACAACAATTAGTTTATGTTAGCTTTACAAAATCGATCACAATAAACAAACAAAGGACGTTGCGGCGATTAGCCTTCATCAGCACATAAAGGACAACACAGTACACATACACAAATATGCTCTAACTATGAAGTGACTACATAGGACTCTAATGTATAGAATAAACGATACTCAACTAGTGTCCCTGGCGAAAAAACTTCGTTCAATGAAATGACGGTCAGCCTATATACCTCCAACGCGCAGGTAGGGGCAAAAAAAGGGACGGATTTGACGCCAACAGCGTACACTGAGTGTCTAAGGAGGGAGAGAGGGGTTGGCCTATAGGGCGTAACCGGGGTTGGGTTGTGGGGATGACATTAGTCCATCCGCATGGAATAAAAGTGGTGCCTGTGCTTGCAAACAAATATCGACAGACAGACAGACAGACAGCTAGATAGATAGACAGACAGACAGATAGATAGATGATGTATAAATCACTCTGTCTGCTGCATTCCATTCCTAGGGGTCACTACACGGCATTTTTTCCTGTTTATGACAAAAATATCACTTTTTCAATGTGTTCATTTTTGTAAAGTTCAGCATTCGTAGAATAGATGACACACAAAATTGGTGTCATTTGTAAACAATTAAACATTGAAAAGTTAATACTAAAGACACCAAGCCATGCACTTTTTTAAGATAAAAAAAGTCACTTTTCTAACGATTCTACTTTTCTGTTTGTTGTGTGTGGGATCTCCTAAAATCTCAGCTAATATAAAGTCTAGAGACGTGAAATTTGATGTGGATACTCCTAACACAATATTATAGGGTCAGGTCTATTTAAAATTGCAGTTTATCAACTAATTTTAAAAAATAGTATTGATTATTATATTAAAAAGCTACATTTCTGTATTTTTTCAACATACCTAAATTTTAATATTCTAAAAAAAAATATTTAGAAACATCTTTGAAGTAAATAAACTAGGCCTGACCCTAAACATAGGTTTTAAATTCATCAAGCAATCATCTGTTTCTCTGTTTGTTTTTTAAATTTTAGCTACATTTTCTTACATTTTTTTTTTGGGGGGGGGGGGGGGGTATTTGGTCAGAACATACTTAAGAAATCTGGCTTGTCCAATGGTCACTACTACAGTTATATTACTGTTTCAGAAGTAATGCAATAAAAATGAATGTTAATCACAGTTATTTCTTCACTAGCATCTCCTACAACACCTGTTTCTAGTACTACAAGAGTTAACTGATTGATTGATTTATTGATTATTTAAATAATGCAGATGCAAACAATTTTTTGCCAGGCATATTTCGCTGTAACTCATCAGGTGCGTTACTACAGAGTTACATCAACATAAAATAAATCACAAAACTGAATAAATTCAACTGAAATGCGAATAGCATTTTTTTTGGAAGCGGTAACCAGTAATCTCATACCAGCCTGCCCTAATTGCCTTTCACTGCATGTGTGGTTAGTTACAGTTTCATCATTCTTTGCTTCTCTTTTGATTCTTGTAACCTTCTTCGGCTATCTTCCGAATAACGGTCCCAAGTTATCGAGGCTAAGAAAATACCCTAACAGGGCCTCGGTCATATGTAAATTGCGGACCTCTTTCCGGTGACTGTACCGCATACCGCAGAAAAGCTTCCACCAAAGTTATCACCGAGAGGGGGGCTAAACTAGATGGCTGGGACTCATAAGTAGCAGCTACCGCATCTCCTGCAGCTTCCTCCATTTAATTTGCTTGTGAGTCCCAGCCATCTAGTTTAGTCAGCATCACGCGAAGTGGCGCGGGGGAAAACTCTTGTCGGTAGCCCTGTTAGGGTATTTTCTTAGCCTCGATAATTTGGGACTGTTATTGGGAGGATAGCCCCTTCTTCTTATAAACTCTGCTGTGCTGCACTTGAAATCAGGTCAATCCACAACCTTTTGTCTCCCCTTCTTCTTTGTGTCCATTCTTTGTCACGTTAATAGTCCTATCTATCCACAACCTTCTGTCTCCTGTCTTCTTAAGGTCCATTCTTTGTCACGTTAATAGTCCTATCTATCCACAACCTTCTGTCTCCTGTCTTCTTAAGGTCCATTCTTTGTCACGTTAATAGTCCTATCTATCCACAACCTTCTGTCTCCTGTCTTCTTAAGGTCCATTCTTTGTCACGTTAATAGTCCTATCTATCCACAACCTTCTGTCTCCTGTCTTCTTAAGGTCCATTCTTTGTCACGTTAATAGTCCTATCTATCCACAACCTTCTGTCTCCTTTCTTCTTAAGGTCCATTCTTTGTCACGTTAATAGTCCTATCTATCCACAACCTTCTGTCTCCTGTCTTCTTAAGGTCCATTCTTTGTCACGTTAATAGTCCTATCTATCCACAACCTTCTGTCTCCTGTCTTCTTAAGGTCCATTCTTTGTAGCATTAATAGTCCTATATATCCACAACCTTCTGTCTCCTGTCTTCTTAAGGTCCATTCTTTGTAGCGTTAACGGTCACATCTATCCACAACCTTCTGTCTCCTGTCTTCTTAAGGTCCATTCTTTGTAGCGTTAACGGTCACATCTATCCACAACCTTCTGTCTCCTGTCTTTTTTCACATCTATCCACAACCTTCTGTCTCCTGTCTTTTTTCACATCTATCCACAACCTTCTGTCTCCTGTCTTTTTTCACATCTATCCACAACCTTCTGTCTCCTGTCTTCTTAAGGTCCATTCTTTGTCACGTTAATAGTCCTATCTATCCACAACCTTCTGTCTCCTGTCTTCTTAAGGTCCATTCTTTGTAACATTAATAGTCCTATCTATCCACAACCTTCTGTCTCCTGTCTTCTTAAGGTCCATTCTTTGTCACGTTAATAGTCCTATCTATCCACAACCTTCTGTCTCCTGTCTTCTTAAGGTCCATTCTTTGTCACGTTAATAGTCCTATCTATCCACAACCTTCTGTCTCCTGTCTTCTTAAGGTCCATTCTTTGTCACGTTAATAGTCCTATCTATCCACAACCTTCTGTCTCCTTTCTTCTTAAGGTCCATTCTTTGTCACGTTAATAGTCCTATCTATCCACAACCTTCTGTCTCCTGTCTTCTTAAGGTCCATTCTTTGTCACGTTAATAGTCCTATCTATCCACAACCTTCTGTCTCCTGTCTTCTTAAGGTCCATTCTTTGTAGCATTAATAGTCCTATATATCCACAACCTTCTGTCTCCTGTCTTCTTAAGGTCCATTCTTTGTAGCGTTAACGGTCACATCTATCCACAACCTTCTGTCTCCTGTCTTCTTAAGGTCCATTCTTTGTAGCGTTAACGGTCACATCTATCCACAACCTTCTGTCTCCTGTCTTTTTTCACATCTATCCACAACCTTCTGTCTCCTGTCTTTTTTCACATCTATCCACAACCTTCTGTCTCCTGTCTTTTTTCACATCTATCCACAACCTTCTGTCTCCTGTCTTCTTAAGGTCCATTCTTTGTCACGTTAATAGTCCTATCTATCCACAACCTTCTGTCTCCTGTCTTCTTAAGGTCCATTCTTTGTAACATTAATAGTCCTATCTATCCACAACCTTCTGTCTCCTGTCTTCTTAAGGTCCATTCTTTGTGACGTTAACGGTCACATCTATCCACAACCTTCTGTCTCCTGTCTTCTTTGTGTCCATTCTTTGTCACATTAATAGTCCTATCTATCCACAACCTTCTGTCTCCTGTCTTCTTAAGATCCATTCTTTGTAGCATTAATAGTCCTATCTATCCACAACCTTCTGTCTCCTGTCTTCTTAAGGTCCATTCTTTGTAACATTAATAGTCCTATCTATCCACAACCTTCTGTCTCCTGTCTTCTTAAGGTCCATTCTTTGTCACGTTAATAGTCCTATCTATCCACAACCTTCTGTCTCCTTTCTTCTTAAGGTCCATTCTTTGTCACGTTAATAGTCCTATCTATCCACAACCTTCTGTCTCCTGTCTTCTTAAGGTCCATTCTTTGTCACGTTAATAGTCCTATCTATCCACAACCTTCTGTCTCCTGTCTTCTTAAGGTCCATTCTTTGTAGCATTAATAGTCCTATATATCCACAACCTTCTGTCTCCTGTCTTCTTAAGGTCCATTCTTTGTAGCGTTAACGGTCACATCTATCCACAACCTTCTGTCTCCTGTCTTCTTAAGGTCCATTCTTTGTAGCGTTAACGGTCACATCTATCCACAACCTTCTGTCTCCTGTCTTTTTTCACATCTATCCACAACCTTCTGTCTCCTGTCTTTTTTCACATCTATCCACAACCTTCTGTCTCCTGTCTTTTTTCACATCTATCCACAACCTTCTGTCTCCTGTCTTCTTAAGGTCCATTCTTTGTCACGTTAATAGTCCTATCTATCCACAACCTTCTGTCTCCTGTCTTCTTAAGGTCCATTCTTTGTAACATTAATAGTCCTATCTATCCACAACCTTCTGTCTCCTGTCTTCTTAAGGTCCATTCTTTGTGACGTTAACGGTCACATCTATCCACAACCTTCTGTCTCCTGTCTTCTTTGTGTCCATTCTTTGTCACATTAATAGTCCTATCTATCCACAACCTTCTGTCTCCTGTCTTCTTAAGATCCATTCTTTGTAGCATTAATAGTCCTATCTATCCACAACCTTCTGTCTCCTGTCTTCTTAAGGTCCATTCTTTGTAACATTAATAGTCCTATCTATCCACAACCTTCTGACTCCTGTCTTCTTAAGGTCCATTCTTTGTAACATTAATAGTCCTATCTATCCACAACCTATTGTCTCCTTTCTTCTTAAGGTCCATTCTTTGTAGCATTAATAGTCCTATCTATCCACAACCTTCTGTCTCCTGTCTTCTTAAGGTCCATTCTTTGTGACGTTAACGGTCACATCTATCCACAACCTTCTGTCTCCTGTCTTTTTTCACATCTATCCACAACCTTCTGTCTCCTGTCTTCTTAAGGTCCATTCTTTGTGGCGTTAAGTCATATCTATCCACAACCTTCTGTCTCCTGTCTTCTTTGTGTCCATTCTTTGTGGCGTTAACAGTCATATCTATCCGCAACCTTCTGACTCCTGTCTTCTTAAGGTCCGTTCTTTGTGGCGAAAACAGTCATATTTATCCACAACCTTCTGTCTCATGTACTATCAATCAGATATTGTTAGGTCACCAAATAGCTTTAAAATAAATTTTTTCTTTTCTTCCCAGAAATCAGCAAATTTCTGAAGGTAACATTGCAGACGGAAAATCTGAGCACAGGAGCTGAAAAAGAAAGGAAGACAATTCTGAAGCTCCTGCAGGCACTGTTTGCTGACTATGATAGCCTTGCTCCAGGGTCAGGTGACGAGGGAAGTGTGTCGAGTTCCAAGGATGTCTTGAATGGCTCACTGGGTAAGTTCCTTTAGAATCAAAGCAGTGCTAATCTGCAGAAACAGGTGAAATTATTTATTGAGTTTCTTGTGTTGAATGTTGAAGTAAAAATTGATATCATGGTACTCAGGACACCCTCATAAGTGCTCCGTCCCCATCTTCAACAGCAAGCGAAGAGTTCCAAATCTGATGGTACTAGTAACTGTCTGTTTGTACATCCATCTCATTGTTTTCTTGAGTGTTGAACGTCGGCCAGATCCCCTAGTAACTCCCCACAGCGCCATTCTCCTCAGACCGAAATGATCTGTTTGTGCCTTCTCACTGTTCACTCGCTCCCAAAGGGCCCTCACAAGTCTAGATTGTCATACATTAAATCACCACCAAGTGGTGCAGAAAACGCAACTCTGCCTGCTCATTTCCCAACACACCGGCATGACCTGGAGAAAATATCCGCCCATGATCTCTGAAGTGATGCTTGCCGCTCTGCATGGAACATGCTTGTTTTCACCTTTCTCAACATGCTCTGTGAGTCAGTTACAATGACTTTGTTGCACTAAGCGACATCCATTTGCTTTTGCTATGAACCCCCCATGCACTTTGTCTGCCCCTCAATACAAAGCCATCTCTATAGATAATCACATCACCTGGGGAAAAATAGTCATGAATCATTTGTTGAACTTCTGATTCTGCAGCACCAACTGGCCACTTTCTAGAGTTGAAAGGTCACATGTAGGTCAGTTAATCAGGTTTATCAGATTGTGTCTCAACCCACCAGGAGACTAAGACATTAATAAAACTAGTATTCAAGAAAGATGGCTGGATACCCACACCACATTTTCTTTCCATGACTAAAGAGACGAACAGTTTATGTACCATATTTAAACTAAGGACCTGGTACAACAGACTTTGTCAACATAAGTTACAAGTTTTTCAATATAAGAAATACACATATGTGACCCTGCAACTCGGCACCTGAAAATACTGACCATGTACTCTAAAACTGTCCACTATATGTCGCTGACAGAGAAGCAATCTGGCCACCTTCCACCTCTATCGGAATACAGCTGTTTGGCACACTGGGAGAGTTTCACAGCAGGATAGCTTTCATCAAGTCTGCTGGCCTCCTAATACATTTTTCTGAAGAAGAAAAGAAGAATCAATCACATGCTGTGTCCTTTGCCCTGGATGCACCCTGTTCGAGATTGCTATTTATTCATCTTATAATCTTATCCTCTCAATTGTTTCATTATCTGTCTCTTTGCTCACTTACTTTCAACTTTTACAGATAAAATGGATAACATGATTTCCTGATCATTGGGTTAGTTTCTGGAGTTAAAATGGTTCAATTGGTTAGTTTCTGGAGGTAAGGTGGATCAATGGGTTAGTTTCTGGAGGTAAGGTGGATCATTGGGTTAGTTTTTGGAGGTAAGGTGGATCATTAGGTTAGTTCCCGTGGGTAAAAGGGATCTGTGGCTGAGTTATTGATATAAAGATATTATTTGTTTGAGTGAAAGTATCTGGAGGTAAGATGGGTCATTGGGTTAGTTCCTTTAGGTAAGATGGGTCATTGGGTTAGTTCCTTTAGGTAAGATGGGTCATTGTGTTAGTTCCTTTAGGTAAGATGGGTCATTGGGTTAGTTCCTTTAGGTAAGATGGGTCATTAAGTTAGTTCCAGGAGGTAAAGTGGATCATTGGGTTAGTTTCTGGAGGTAAAATACTTCATTTAGGTTAGTTCCTATGGGTAAAATGGATCTGTGGTTGAGTTATTGATATAAAATTATTAGTTGTTTGAGTGAAAGTTTCTTGAAGTGAAATGTTCACTAAGTAGATGTCTTGAAGTGAAGTGTTCACTAAGTAGATGTCTTGAAGTGAAGTGTTCACTAAGTAGATTTCTTGAAGTGAAATGTTCACTAAGTAGATTTCTTGAAGTGAAGTGTTCACTAAGTAGATTTCTTGAAGTGAAATGTTCACTAAGTAAATTTCTTGAAGTGAAATGTTCACTAAGTAGATTTCTTGAAGTGAAATGTTCATTAAGTAGATTTCTTGAAGTGAAGTGTTCACTAAGTAGATTTCTTGAAGTGAAATGTTCACTAAGTAAATTTCTTGAAGTGAAATGTTCACTAAGTAGATGTCTTGAAGTGAAATGTTTACTAAGTAAATTTCTTGAAGTGAAGTGTTCACTAAGTAGATTTCTTGAAGTGAAATGTTCACTAAGTAGATTTCTTGAAGTGAAGTGTTCACTAAGTAGATTTCTTGAAGTGAAATGTTCACTAAGTAAATTTCTTGAAGTGAAATGTTCACTAAGTAGATTTCTTGAAGTGAAATGTTTACTAAGTAGATTTCTTGAAATGAAATGTTCATTAAGTAGATTTCTTGAAGTGAAGTGTTCACTAAGTAGATTTCTTGAAGTGAAATGTTCACTAAGTAGATTTCTTGAAGTGAAGTGTTCACTAAGTAGATTTCTTGAAGTGAAGTGTTCACTAAGTAGATTTCTTGAAGTGAAATGTTCACTAAGTAGATTTCTTGAAGTGAAGTGTTCACTAAGTAGATTTCTTGAAGTGAAATGTTCACTAAGTAAATTTCTTGAAGTGAAATGTTCACTAAGTAGATTTCTTGAAGTGAAATGTTCACTAAGTAAATTTCTTGAAGTGAAATGTTCACTAAGTAGATTTCTTGAAGTGAAATGTTCACTAAGTAGATGTCTTGAAGTGAAGTGTTCACTAAGTAGATTTCTTGAAGTGAAATGTTCACTAAGTAGATGTCTTGAAGTGAAGTATTCACTAAGTAGATGTCTTGAAGTGAAGTGTTCACTAAGTAGATTTCTTGAAGTGAAATGTTCACTAAGTAGATTTCTTGAAGTGAAGTGTTCACTAAGTAGATTTCTTGAAGTGAAGTGTTCACTAAGTAAATTTCTTGAAGTGAAATGTTCACTAAGTAGATTTCTTGAAGTGAAATGTTCACTAAGTAGATGTCTTGAAGTGAAATGTTCACTAAGTAAATTTCTTGAAGTGAAATGTTCACTAAGTAGATTTCTTGAAGTGCAATGTTCACTAAGTAAATTTCTTGAAGTAAGAAAGTTCATCTGGTATGTTTCTGGAACTCACTAAGGGAGAATCTTAATGATAAATGAAGTGTTCAGTTTGAAAGTCATTTTTGGGGGGGGGGGGGGGGGGGGTTAAGTTTTTATTAAAAACAATTATTCTGTCTGGAAAAAAAAAAAATACAGACTCCTTGTTCCTTTTCTGGGTGCGCCCTGAAAATGACAGTTGGTATGTTGTGTTGTCATTTCCTGTAAGCTTGTGATATCTGTGCTTTTAGTGTGTGTGTGTGGCTTGTCACATCTGATTTCAGCAAATTCTAATAAGTCACTTTTCCTAGCATTTTTGTTAACTCATTTTGCCATGACAACTTAAAAAAAAAAAAAAATAGGTCCTAACTCCGTTAGGATTCCTGAAAAAATATCAAAAACAATCATTTTTACACAGATCATTAATAAATTCATTTAAAATGTATTTAACGACATTTAAAAATTACTTTCCAAAATATACAAGGAAGTGGTCACAAAAATGTACAGGGCGATGCATTCAAATGAATACATTTCCAGGTCCTAAACAGCACACTTGTCTCGGGTGACTTATGCTGTGACCCCGTGACCTTAACCACAGAGGCTTATGAGAAAATCTGACATCATCTTGGCTTTTAAAAAAGCCATTTAACACAAAGGAGAACCCCTGTAAAAGCTATTGTTAGTTAATTTGGTAATATCCTGACCTCCTGAATGTTTGAGCAGGCGCTAACTCTGCCAGTTGCAGTAACTATACATCTTGTTAACAGGTCTCTATAGATAAGTCGGGAAAGTGACATTTAAGGGGGAATTGGACCCAACTGGAAATGTTGGTTTTTCAGCTTTTCAGGGTGAAAATGTTAAAGAACAGAGGGCCTGCTTTTCCATCCTCCGTGGGGGGGGGGGGGGTTGAAACCAATGTGGGATAAAAGACATACACAATGTTGAAATTGTTTCATGTTTCTATTGACTTTTCAGATGAATCCAGGAGCACGCTGGATAGTCATGGGAGTGAAGAGGACAGCTACTCTGACAGTAATTCTTGTCTTTGTATTTTGCCATGTTGTTGTTGTTGTTGTTTTTGTTATTGTTCATTATTGATTTATCTTTCTGCTGCTGCTGCTCCTTCTCCATTTCCTTCTTCATCTATTTTGTTCCTTCTTCTCTTCTTTTCCTTCTTCATCTATTTTGTTCCTTCTTCTCTTCTTTTCCTTCTTCATCTATTTTGTTCCTTCTTCTCTTCTTTTCCTTCTTCATCTATTTTGTTCCTTCTTCTCTTCTTTTCCTTCTTCATCTATTTTGTTCCTTCTTCTCTTCTTTTCCTTCTTCATCTATTTTGTTCCTTCTTCTCTTCTTTTCCTTCTCCATCTATTTTGTTCCTTCTTCTCTTCTTTTCCTTCTTTATCTATTTTGTTCCTTCTTCTCTTCTTTTCCTTCTTCATCTATTTTGTTCCTTCTTCTCTTCTTTTTCATTCTTCTTTCTCATCTCCTTCTTCTTTTCCTTCTTCATCTATTTTGTTCCTTCTTCTCTTCTTTTTCATTCTTCTTTCTCATCTCCTTCTTCTTTTCCTTCTTCTTTTTCTTATTCTTCTCCTTCTACTCCTCCACTTTTTCTCCCCTTCTTCCTACCCTCTTTTTATCTCTTCCTCCACCTCTTTCTCCTGCTGCTCCTTGTTTTCCTCCTCCTTCTTCTTCTTCTCTTCTTTCTTCTTCTTCTCCTCCTCCTGCCCATCTTCTTCCTTTCCTCTCTTCACTTGCTTCTTCCTTGTATTCTTCTCTTTAATCTGTTCTGTTGCTGCTTCTCCACCACTGCTGTCATCTTCTGTCACTTGCCTATTCTTCATCTTTCAATCTTTCGTGAAGGCTACCTACGTTGTTCAGCTGCTGCATCTGTAGGAAGAAAACAGAACTTTCCTTATGTACTTTACAAATACACTGATTTATTTGTTACTACATTTTATATTATTTCAGATATACTATATTTTATTTGCCTTTCACATAATAATCATAATAATAACAACAGTTATTGTTATTGTGGAGTTAAATAAGTATAAAGTCCTTTGAGCCCCTACTCCTCTTTTTCTCCCAATAATTGCCTAGGGGTTGGGGGAGTGGAGCCTCAAAAGATTTTAGCCTGGTTTAATTGTGCAATAATAATAATAAATATTGTTATTGTTATTATTATTGCACAACATTATTATTAAACAAGGCTCAAGTCTAGGAAATTAATGTTACCACCCCCCCCCCCACCCCCCCCCTCCCAAGAACAATGAAAGACTTATTTGCTCATCTGTACATTCCATTTGTCTTGCAGACATTGCAGACACGACAGTTAAAGCTCTGTCTAATCCCACTAAGATGGGATTCCTTGAAAAGAAACAAGGTAAGGGACATTCACACATCGGCGTCAGATTAAATCAGGAAATTATTGTTATTTTCATGTGAGTAGTATGTGTTGTTTGCATTCACCGGCGGTAAACCCCGGCGGAAAGACCTGGTTGTTTGTTCATTTCTGAACTGTGGCTTTGTTCCAGGACCTGAATTTTGCATGTGCAGCCGTTTTACGGATCTTGCTTACTTGTATACAGACTGTTGGTTCCGTGCCTCTCAGGCAGATGCACTCCAAAGCTCCCTAATTAGTTGATTTTTACGACTTGCTTGTATGGGTGGCTGCAGGTCTGTTCTTGTTTTCCCCACAATGGGACCCCCAGACCCAGACTATGAATGTGAGTTATGTGGTATGACAGTTGCTGACAAATAAATTGAAAATGACAAGTGGAATATTTTGGCTACATTAATTCTTTCAGTCCCAGTAGTTTCATCAGCAAATATCCAAGAAGGCAAAAAGAACAGTGAGAAAAGTACAGGTGTTTTAGTTTCAAGGACAGAACCGACACCAGACACTAATGGGATGTGTTAAAATATCCTACCTTATTTCGTTAGTTATACCAGGACCAAGATTAACAGAGACATGAACGTGACTGTAGCTTAACACCCGTGGACAATAACTGATCATGTCTGGTCAGTGTCTTGGGACTTTTTCTTCTTCATGTTCATCGATGAAAAGTTCTGGTTGTTTGTCCACATCTGGACTTTAGTCTTGTTCCAGAACTTGAGTTTGGATGCACATCCGTTTTACATTTCTGACTTATTTGTAAGGCAATTGTTGGTTCCTTCCTCTCAGGCAGATCTGCCAACTTTCACAACAAGCTTGTTGGAGAGGCAGTGGGTCTATTCTTGTTTTCCCCCACAATGGGGCCTTGGAACCCACATGGAAAGGACTTCTTCTCCTTCTTCTCCTCCTTTTTCTTCTTCTTCTTCTTCTTCTTTTACTTCTTCTCTAGTCCTGTATTGCCTTTCAGCATCAGGTTTTGAAGAAGCATCAGTTGAGAGCATTGGTATGTGCTACGTAGATGCTGGTATTTTTGTTTGGTTTTTATTGCTTTGGATATTACATCTATCCATCGCTTGTGTGGTCGATCTCTGGATCTGCTTCTGTTTTTGGGACCGAAAGAGTTTAAAGATGTTAACACTCATAAAAACCATACTGGAGGATAAAGTAGAAGGCAAGCCAGCAAGAGACAGACAGCAGTACAAGTGGGAGGATAACATCAAGAGATGGAGAAACAGAGAGAGAGTGTACGTCCATGATGATATACAGAACATGTGGGAGATTCGTTACAGACAGTCTTCATTGTGGGGACGGCTCCTGACTGATTTGTGATCTGAGTTAAAAACTGACATTATGGCACCCAGGACTTTCCCCATAAGCTCTCCGTCCCTATCTTCAGCAGCAAGCTGTTTGAATTCGAGAAGTATAGAATATGGTTCTAGTGTTATCAAGAAGGTTTCTAATTTTCGCATGTTGGTATTGTTGTTTAGCATCGCAAGTGCTTGTACATGAGAGTTGAAAGTTAGATTTCTGTCAGTTTCTCGTGTGAGTTCCGGGGCCCTATTATAGGGAAAACAAGAATAGCCCCACTGCCTACCCAAAAGCATGTCGTAAAAGTCGACTAATTGGGAGCTTCCTTCGAAGTCGGAGTGCATCTGCCTGAGAGGCAACGAACCAGCAGTCTGCATATAAATGAGTCAGATCTGTAAAACGGATGTACACGCAACACTCAGGTTTTGGAACAGGACTGCTGTCCAGAAGTGGATGAACAACCAGAACTTTCCGCCGGAGTTTACAGCTGGTGACCGCGAAGAAGAAGAAGATTTCTGTCAGTGATTGGACCTAATGCTTTTTACTAAGTTACACCTTTCACTGGGGTGCTACCAGTAATGTAGTTGATGCTTTTCTTCTCTGTTATTTTAAACTGAAATTTTTGTCCAGTCATTTTTAATGAAGATTATATTTATTACAGTGTATTTGTAAACGGTTTGGGAGTTGCCGTGGCGTAACGTCTAGACGCTCGGATGCGGATCGGAAGGTGGTGGGTTCACTCCCTGCAGAGCAGAACTTTTTTCAAAATTGACCTTCACTCCCAGGTTGACCCAAACTTGAGTGGGTACTGGGTGCAGTCCCAGGAAGTAAAGGCAGCCGGCGTGATGCTGACCACATCACTATCTTGTGCTGATTGGTCTATAAAAATATAGGTCTAGCCCTATATGCCCTATAGGCCTAAAGGTGTGGAAAAGGGACCTTTACTTTTAATTCATTTTTGTATACGGTTTGCATAGCTCCATTTGACTACATTATTTCATTTTTATAAAGATGACTCTAGGACATTAGAAGTTGATTATTTTTGTAGACTGTACACATTCTAGATGGATTGATAAGTAGATGGATAGATAGATAGATGGTTGGATGGATGGATGGATGGGTAGGTAGATAGGTTTCGGTGGGTTAATGGGTGGAAGGAGGGATGGATGAGTAGGTGGCTGGGTGGATTGACTGATCAGATCATAGCATACAACAATAATCTTGCTCAGCAGATACCATTGTTTTGTATCACTTCTTGCAGAAAAGATCTTCACCCTCTGGCAGAAACGTTACTGTGTTCTTCATAAGAATGTCTTTTATATATTCAAGAAACTGGATAAGAAACAGCAAGGAGCCTTTATTGTAACAGGTTTGTTCCCTGCTTCACTTTCTTTGATATCACAAGTTACTTCTTTTATTATAGTTTTTTTTTTTATGTTTTGTAAAATAGTTACTTTTTTGTTGTAGTTTCTTTTATATTTGTGACATAGTTGCTTCTTTTTATTTTAATAGTTTCTTTTATGTTTGCATCATACTTACTTCTTTCATTGTAGTTTCTTTTATATTTGTTAACATATTTTTCTAGCATAGTTACTTCTTTTTTCAGAGTTTTTTTCTAAATATTCTGAATCATAATTACTTCTTTCATCAAAGTTTTTTAAATATTCTGAATCATAGTTACTTCTTTCATCAATGTCTTAGCAGCTCACAAGTTAATAATAATATAACAAGGATAATAGTAGCATATAACACAAGTAAGTATTTATTATTGTTTATGAAACCACACAGGGACTGTTGATTTTTTGTGTGTCATAATTACTTTTTATTTTTTATCTTTATCCCTGGGTTAGCAACCATCAATCCTGCTTCACTAGTATAGTGCCATCATCATCATCCTCTAACACAGCGGTTCTCAACCTGTGGGTTGCGACCCTTTTTGGGGGTCGAATTAATCTTTCACAGGGGTCACCTAAGATCACCGAAAAACACATATTCACTGAAGTTACGAAGTAGCAACAAATATAATTTTATGGTTGGGGTCACAACAACACGAGGAACTGTATTAAAGATTCGTCACAATACGAGGAACTGTATTAAAGGGTCACCACAACACGAGGAACTGTATTAAAGTGTCACCACAACACGAGGAACTGTATTAAAGAGTCACCACAACACGAGGAACTGTATTAAAGAGTCACCACAACACGAGGAACTGTATTAAAGGGTCACCACAACACGAGGAAATGTATTAAAGGGTCACCACAACACGAGGAACTGTATTAAAGAGTCACCACAACACGAGGAACTGTATTAAAGGGTCACCACAACACGAGGAACTGTATTAAAGAGTCACCACAACTTGAGGAACTGTATTAAAGGGTCACCACAACACGAGGAACTGTATTGAAGGGTCACCACAACACGAGGAACTGTATTAAAGAGTCACCACAACACGAGGAACTGTATTAAAGGGTCACCACAACACGAGGAACTGTATTAAAGGGTCCCTGTATTAGAAAGGTTGAGAACCTCTGCTCTAGCAGGTCCTTTACAGAATCTCACTTTCATCACGGTCTGCCTGAAAGAGACCCAGTCTCTCACCAGCCCTCCCACTTCATGCACTTTCCTGTCCAAAGTGTCACTTATATCCTGTGCACATCTTCGTGCTGGTTGGCCCCTGCCCTTCTTTCCTGGTACCATGCCTTCTGCTATATTTCTTTCCAGTCTGCTGTGGCACTTGATATGGCCAAAATATTTCAGTTTATGATGTTTCATAACACATGATGCTGTTTATTAGCCAATTTTCCTTAATGCCCAGATTTTTTTATGGTGTCTGTAATTCTTGTCTTCTTTGTCCAAGGTATTCTGAGAATCTGTCTATAGCTTTCCAGCTCAAAAGCCCCTGTTTTGTTCTTTAATGACGGCAGTATAGTTTGTGACTCACATCCATTTGTTGCTACAGGGAAGATGCAAGCTCTCAAAATGTTTGTATAAAACCATACTAATAGATAATTGTGGTATTTTCATATGTACATTTTGTATGTGAACTGGATAACACATAAAATGTACATTTTACATGTGAATTTGATACCTGCATCATTATCGTGTGTACGTGTTGTATGTAAATTATGTATCATATGTACGGTTTGAGAACCCACCTTTTCTGTGCACACCAGGTTATGAGTTCAGAGAAGCCCCCTATCTTGCTAAAGATGAAAGGAAGAGAGAGCTTTACTTTGAGCTGGTGTGTCCAGCCAAGAAGACTTACCAGGTAAGTAATCATTTTCATTTCTTTCCCTTCCAGTGTGGGTTCCGGGAGCCCACCGTGGGCGAAAAACAAGAATAGACCCACTGTCTCCCCAACAAGCATGTCATAAGAGTCGACTAACTGTTCTACATGAAAAGGAATGGACCAGGCCAATTTTGTCAGTGCTGTCACTGAGGCTGGATGAGAAGATGTTTCAAGAAATGAGGTTAAATCGGCAACACTCACAAGACTACAAGAACTGAGGTCAGAAAAAGTGTCACCAAACATGTACACCCTACAGGTAGCCAAATAAGAATAGTAAACCAACATAGAACTGGTGTTATCAGTCACCACACACTGAGGGAGATACTGAAGATGGGATCAAGCATTTATAGACTTGTCCGATCTGCAGCAAGGATAATCTTTTGATTAACTAACTAAAAAACTAACTAACTGTGGAAATCCTTCAGAGAGGCAAGGAACCAACAGTTTGTATACAAATCTGTCAGATCTGTAAAATGGATGTACACACAACACTCAGGTTCTTGGTCAGAATGTGTTATTAATATACAATTATGATATTAATAAAAATGTTAACTGTCGATATACAAACTGCTTATGAAAACAAAACAAAAATTTCCTTTCATTTTGTTGTATAAATAGTTCACAGAAATATTGTATTTATAATTAAACTGAAAAAATAATACAACGGATTATTACAAATGCCCTCAATTCCCCCCCCCCCCCCCCCCCCCCCAGGCTAGAGACCCCCCCCCCCCCCCCCCCCCCAGGCTAGAGACCACAGCTTTACATGTACTGTGAATAATTGGATGTAGCTCCACCCTTTAAATTGTAGCTCCACCAATTAAATTGTAGCTCCACCTATTAAATTGTAGCTCCACCCATTAAGTTGTAGCGCCACCAATTAAATTGTAGCTCCACCCATTAATTTGTAGCTCCACTCATTAAATTGTAGATCCACCTATTAAATTGTAGCTCCACCCTTTAAATTGTAGCTCCACCCTTTAAATTGTAGCTCCACCCATTAAATTGTAGCTCCACCCATTAAATTGTAGCTCCACCCATTAAATTGTAGCTCAACCCATTAAACTCTTGTTGTTTTCCATCAGTTTCTCTGTGAAAGCAAGGATGATCTCCTGGCATGGAAAGAAGTTCTTCAAGCTGCGGCCAGCAGCCAGCCAGTGGTTGAAAATGGTAGGCTGCCAAATAAAAATTCTTCTTCATTGCACTTTATATTTTTATACTTTATACTTTATGTGTTATTGAATGAATTATCATTTTGAAGATAAATATTTTCTTATAGCCCATTTATTTATCTTCAAAATAATAATTCATTCAATAAAACATGTTGCAGATTAATTAAACTGTAGTTCAATTTGTGTATAAATTTACTCGATAACAATTGTTACCGCCGACCGGCCACACCAGCCTCACAAAAACGGGAATTTTGTTTGAGCTGTATGGCCTTATATTTATGTGAATACGTGCTTACATCCATGTGTGCACACGCAGACTGCTTCAGTCTTGGATGTGGCAAATTTCTGTTGTGAAGAACAGTTTGTTTATCCCTGGCAGTTTTTCTTGCTTGAACTCTGATTTTGATAAGAGGAATTTCTGGTAGCTATTTCTTGGGTCCCCAGTAAGTTTTCCTTATCAGGTTTGCATTGTAAAATTATATTATCATTGTTATTTTGTTAAATTATTGTTATTATAATTGAAAAGTCCATATGTCAATAGAAAAACTTTCCAACATTCGTAAACATCTGACTTGTTTCCTTTTTATAGATGGTGATATTTATGAGGAGTTCGGTGAGACTGGAGATAAAACCAAAAGTCAACAAACTGCAGCTCCGACTGATGAGATTTATAACGAAGCTGCTTCTGAAAAAACACCAGCCAAACAGCCTCAAGTAAAAGCAGCTACAGTTCCATTAAAAAAGTCCAGTCCAGCCTCACTTAAACTTGGCCAACTGTTGCCGGTATCTGATGCAAAAGAAAAAGATAAAACCCCAGAAGTTGATGAAGATGATCTGCTGTATGAGCCCCTTGATGTCGTTGCTCCTCCTTCTGGACCTCCAAACAAGGCAGCATCTCCTTTAGCCAAAAGTACACAGAGTACTTTACTATCTGCAACCACAGCTCCAATGAAGAATCTGAAAAGTCCGACAGCTACATCTTCAGAACAGCCACCGCCTGTACCCCCTCAGAGAGTTCCAGAACCTCTGTCACCTTCCCATAAACCACAGGAGCTGCCTCCGCCACCTCTTCCTCCGCACAAAACCCATGAATCTGGTGGGCAGATACCACCCCCACTTCCTGGAAGAGCTCTCCCACCACCGCCCACAGAACCCCTACCTCCTGTCCCTTCAACCCCGAAGAAAATGATCAGCCCATCTTTAGGCAACATTCTGCATCCTTCGGAAGATTTTGAGAATTTATTTTACGGAAAATGGGACTGCACTGGCTCCACGACAAATGAACTGAGTTTTAAGAGAAGTCAGATCGTACATGTTATTAGTCGAGAATTGGATGATTGGTGGGTTGGGGCACTTGAAGATAAGGTCGGTCTCGTTCCAAAGACTTATTTGTGTCCTGCATATGAACTTGTCAGATGAAAGAAAAATGTGGCCAGGTTTTGTCACCTTCTGATTCCATTTATTTTATTATTTTATTTTATTTTATTTTTTTAATTTCTTTGTAAGAGGCAGACCGAGAGTACGATGGATAGACAATATATCAGAGATCCTGAGGCAACACGGACTAACAACAACACGTGCAACACACCTGGCCCAGGATAGAAAACTGCGACTCCCCACTACGCTGTGAGGCAATTGTGGACAAGACAAGACAAGACAATTTTTTAGTGTCAATTTGAATGAAAGACAAAGTTGGTTTTTGGCCAATTACTGTGTCCTGCTTATGAACTAGTCAGATTAATGGGTGCAAGGGGGGGAGGGGGGGATGGCCAAAGTTTGTCACTTTCTGATTCCACTTAATTAATTACTTAGTTTAAGGAAAGACAAAGCTGGTCTTGTAACCAAACAGTGACCTGTATCCTGCTTAAAAACTTTCTCAGTGACTCTGTGAGTATGCTCAGGAAGATAGAGATTGGCTGGGTCCGAAGACAGAGGTTGAAGTCTCTAAAGCTGTCGAAGCTAACACATATTAATTTCATATTTGTGCCAGGGCACGCAGGCGTGCAAGGAAATGGGCACGCTGATCGGCCTGCAGGTAAAGCTGCTGTGGAGGGCAAACAAGCCATGGACCAGGCAGATATTCTGAATGCTCTACGAGAAGTAAGACATTTTACGTGAATCAAGACATTTGCGTGAATCAAGACATTTGCGTGAATCAAGACATTTTGCGTGAATCAAGACATTTTGCGTGAATCAAGACATTTTGCGTGAATCAAGACATTTTGCGTGAATCAAGACATTTTGCGTGAATCAAGTAATGACTATGAATCTGCAACCATGAACAGGCTATAAGACCACCTTTTTTTTTTTTTTTTAATTCAGAAAAAATGAGTTGTTAACCCTTTGGCTCGGTACTGTGGATATTGCAACCCTTCAGCCTTGATTCCATGATAGATACCGTAAATCTGGGAGAAATGTGGCTTTTCTGCCTGCCCCTGGACATGAACCCGGACCACAAGGAGTTCGTCACCCGATTGCCGTGCAGTCAGGTTTAACCAACTGAGCTAGTGAGCCGAGCAAAAGAACAACATTTACCAGGGATGTGGTCAGACAAGAACACAATGCAAGAAGCCAAAGAAAAATAATAAACCAACACAGAAATGATATCATGAGTTGCTGCACGCTGCAGGATTGACTAAGGAGGGGATCCGAGCTCTTATGGACTGAATGGTTTGATGTGCAGTGAGGATAATCTGTCAACTAACTGCTTAAGAACTAGCAAGATATGAGAAAAGCACGGCCAGATTTTTATCATGTACAGATCCATTATTTTATTATTTAGTTTCTCCCTCTTAATTTTAAGGAAATATAAAGTTGCTCTTAACAGGCGCATGTGCTACTTACACACTAGTTTATAAAAAATTTTAAAATGTTGAAGTTCTCTATCCTTTACAGAGAGTTGCAGAATAAATCCAGCATTTTTTTGCTGTTTGGGTTTTCTAGGCAGTTTTACATTTGGTAGTTTGCTGTTGCTTTCTAAATGGCAAGCTCTTTATACCGTTGTCAAAATCAGTTCAAGACGGTCTGCTGCCAAATTACCTGCAGCTGGAAATGTGCTCTGTATTTCGGAATGACAAAGCTATTTTTGCAGTGGCAGGATTTGGACCTGGAAGCCAAGATAGTTTATGGTGCTTTATTAATATCCTACCCCAAACAAGAGGAAATCAACAGGTCATAGGACAGTCTAATATTTCAGGGGGTGGTAGATAGGCTGCATGCAGTCGTGGGACCTAGGCTACATGCAGTCCATGGGAACTAAGCTGCATTCTTTCGTGGGACGTAAGTGGGTTTGAGTTAGGGCCAGTACTAGATGTTTCTGGGCCATTAAAAGCATCAGAAAGCCGGGAAACCCAGTCTTACCACCCTCTAAAATGTTGGACTGTCCTGTGACTTCATCTGGGGTTGGAAATTAATAAAGCACCTAATTTATTTTTAAAAACTCTGATTTGGTGCAGATTCAAACATAAGATTTTCATGCTAGAATGCAGCGCATCTACATTATAAAGAGCACAGATATAATGTATATCAAATTGCTTCTATTAACATGTAAACTGTTGCCCATTGTTAGTTATAATTTTCTAAAAGCAAACATATCCATTGAGCAAAATATTGAAAACATTTTGATTGACAAAATAAGTATTTCAAGTATTTACCTATAGAATTGATAGCCCATTTAACCTTTTGGTCTCAGATAAAACAGCCTGCAAATCCCCAGACATCCTTTAAAAAAAAATCATTTTGGAAGGGCTGAAGAAAGAAATATATATTTGTGGTGTGTGTGTGGGGAGGGGGGGGGGGGGGAGAATCAAATGGACAGTTCTTATGTCCTAAAAAAATACAGTAACTCATACACTGAACTTGTTGCCATACACCCGCTGAAGGGGAATAATGGTGTCTTATTTATTAAAAAGCTGGGTTTTTTCCGCCAATGCTATTTTAGTAAATATAATCATATCTGGCCTTTCTAATCACTACATATGTGCAAAAAGGAGCCAAAACCGCCCTATGGCGTAACAGGGATTGGCAAAAGCTGTAAAGCCACGATATCTGCCGTATGGGGATTCAGTGGACACCGAAGTCACAGTATCTGTCGTATGGGGATTCAATGGAAACTGAAGTCACAGTATCTGTCGTATGGGGATTCAACAGACACCGAAGTCACAATATCTGTCGCATAGGGAATCAACAGACACCGAAGTCACTATCTGTCATATGGGGAATCAACAGACACCAAAGTCACAATATTTGTCGTATAGGGAATCAACAGACACCAAAGTCACTATCTGTCTTTTGGGGAAACAACAGACACCAAAGTCACAGTATCTGTCGTATGGGGAATCAACAGACACCAAAGTAACAGTATGGGGATTCAGCGGGCACCAAGTGACAATACTGAGGGCAAATGTAGATCTATAAAATTGTAGATTTCCGATACGTATAAATAATATATTTTTTCCTGCTGTGAATTTTTAATTTGATTTGTTATTTTTTTTTTTTTAATGGTTTTTGTGCCTGTCAAAAATCAAAAATATTATTGTTTAAATTAAATAGTTTTGAAACATACATTTACATATGCCATGTTGCCCTGTTTATGCATACTTATATCAACGGCCTATAAATTTTCTATTGATATAGATGAGAGATGTTTTCATATACTCAGATACTATGCAAATTTTTCTATTTTCTACATAAACTAATGCAGTTTTGACATTCTTAGTTAATATTTTATGAAACTGAGCTTTGAGACAAAACCTATTCTTCAAAATTCAACCTAAGTAATTGAGAATATGTAATTATTTAAATGTGAAATATTTTAATACTATTTCAAACGTCATTTGACACTTTGTCAATTATGTGGCAAATATGATTGTTTTTTGTGTTTTTGGGTGTGTTTTTTGTTTGTTACCAACAAGAGGAGATCGATGCGATTTTCAGCAATACATGAACATTTATCTTTTGCCCAAATTTTTTTTTAAAGGGTAACTATTTTTTTTTTTTTTATGTTGTTTCATGGTATAGGAGCAGAGCACTTGCCAATTATACTGAAAGGTTATTGTATGTGCTTTGCATAAAATATATCTAATACTACGGGGTATATCGGGCACATCTTGAGAAGAAGCAGATAATCACTATAATAGGCACTGAAATGAGAAACAAACTGAACACAAGGTAGAATGACCATACGATCCGATTTAGCCGAAACAGTCCCGTTCTTTAGGTGTGCCCTGACAGAACTGCCAAAAATGTCAGTTATTCCGTTTTAGAAAAATCTGCGAATAAGCTCAAGAATCGAACATAATCTTATGTTTATTTCTGCAGACGTTAACAGATTTCAAAGTTTCATATACTTTAAATGTCTGTCTAAATGGTATTGGTGTGAATTTTGATTGTGGCATGTTTTTCTTTTTTTTTTTTTTAATTGCAGTTAAAGAGCATATTGTTTCATTAATTTCTTGGCGGCAGTGAGTCAGTTATTATTTGTTGAGGAAGTCATTAACTTGTTCACCCAGTTACCGAGGAAAAAAATAGGGAGTGTTAACTAACTTGCTTGGAATGTCCCAATTTTCAGCTCAAAATATTAGTTTGATGTTTCTTTGTTCAAAATATTAGTGGAATGTCCCATTTTTAACTCAACATATTGTGGTCACCTAACACAAGGAGGCGCACGAAAAACCATCAGATGAACATTGCTGAGAAAAGCCAGGACTAGATTCTGTCAGTGTCAAAAAGTCTGCACAGGACACACTGGCATGAAGGCCTAGACTGTGAGCCCTATGTGATTTATAATGACACAGTAGGATCTGGTATTCTTGGTTTCGGCTTCATAGCAAACGGGTCATCCCATAGTTGCTCCACTCCTGTGCCAACGACAAAAACACAGAATGTCCAACACCGTCTCTTGTAGAAAAATGGACACATACTGGAGTTTCAGCATGTCCACTAGCATACCCACTAGGTTTATGATGATCATGATGACACTGAAGCCGAAGGGTTAAAGACCAAGATATCTTTACATCCTAATATCGAAAAGAAGGAGATTAAAACTATAAGAAAGCTCTACACCCCAGGATAGAAAAGGAGAAATTAAAACTATAAAAAAAAAATGCTCTACATCCCAGTATAGAAAAGTAGAGATTGAAAGTATACAAAAACTACATGCCAGTACAGAAAAGGATAAATTAAAACTACAAGAAAGCTCTACATCCCAGTATAGAAAAGGAGAGATTAAAACTATAAGAAAGCTCTACATCCCAGTATAGAAAAGGATAAGTTAAAACTATAAGAAAGCTCTACATCCCAGTATAGAAAAGGATAAGTTAAAACTATAAGAAAGCTCTACATCCCAGTATAGAAAAGGATAAATTAAAACTATAAGAAAGCTCTACATCCCAGTACAGAAAAGGATAAATTAAAACTAT